AATCTTTTCCAACTAGTCCTAGGGCTCCAACTACAACAGGGATTGTTGATGTTCCCATATGCCACATTTTTGAGATTTCGATTTCAAGGTCCTTGTATTTTGACAGGTTTTTGAATATCTTCAAAGATACATTGCAGTCAGCAGGGACTGCCATATCAATAAGGAGGCACCGATTTTGTTTGTGGTCTTTAATAACAATATCTGGCCGGTTGGCTTTGATTGTTCTGTCAGTGTGTATTGTGTAATCCAATAGAATTGTAACAGGTCCTATCTCCGTAACCGGGTCTGGTTGGTGTTCATACCAGTTTTTTTCAGTTTTCTTCCCGTAGAAGTTGCAGATTTTCCACTGCAGATATTGGCCTACTCTGTCATGTCGGGTTTTATATTCAGTGGGTGCCAACACCGTACAACCTGATACAAGATACAAGATGATCAATCGTTTCTGGATTTATCACAGAATCTGCATTTTGGGCTGACACAATATTTTAGTATATGTGCTTGATAATTCCTAGTTAGCAAGCATTGGTCCTGCGCAGCAAGGGTTATTATTATTATTATTATTATTAAATTTCCTGGTATATTGTGTGTAGGAGGGATACGTGTTCTCGTGATGCTTTTAGTGCACACTACTGCACACACACACACTTGTTACATTTGAATGTCGTGTATGTGCATATGTTAAAAAGAGACGGACATCACTGTACAATAACGTGGGTAAGGCGAGATGGAAGTGTGTGATTATTGGGGGTGTAAATGTGCTTAAAGAAATAGAAAGTACTTGCTGTTACTAATCTGTTACGTGAATAAGTCTTCGTGAAATATGTTGTGTGTGTGTGCACAGATGTGTAGGCATGTGTGTGTATATGCCCATTTGACTGTTTTCCCTTGTCTCGCTCGATCTCCCTCTTTCTCCTTCTCTCTCCCTATTTCTCTCTATCCTCTCTCTCTCTCTTTCTCCCTCTCTTTCTTTTTCTCCCTCTCTCTCTTTTCTCCCTCTCTCTCTCTGTCTTTCCATTATATATATATATATATATATATATATATATATATATATATGAAAAATGTAGTTTTAAGGTGTGTTATACTTATGGGATAAAGTGTTCAATATCAGAGATAGAGCGTATGTAAATATAGATATAAAAGTGAACATTGAAGTCAATTCTCAGACGCGACAGGCTGTTTCATGCTGGACATAATCGCCAACATCAAACAGCCTGTCGCCTCTGAGTGTTGACTTCAATATTCACGTTTATATATATATATATATATATATATATATATATATATATATACATTTGGCATTCAACATCATCACTTGATAAGACACCGGAGGTGTTAAAATAAAATAGCTATTTTTGTAGTGATTTTATAACATATTTATGTTATAATTTTTTTAAATAAATAATTATATCTGCTCTACTCTGTATCGAGCACTCTTTTAAGAATAGTAATTGTTGGTTATTGGAATTCATTCCGTATACACCAATTATATACTTGCTTGGGTATATATATATATATATATATATGAATAGTGTACTGGAGCAACAGATCATTATTCAAACATATATTGTTAAATATAACAGACAACGAATGTCTACTATGTTTCATTCACAGCCGTTCTAAGCTGCGTATATTTGCTTTAATTTCGGGCGAAAATAAAGTCAATAATCAAAGAACAATATAATAAAAATATAACCAAATGCAATTTTTGTCTTTATTTTCACTAGAAATTGGAGTAACTATACGAACTTTAGAACGGCTCATGATCAAACATAATAGACATTTGTTGACTGTTATTTTTAACAAAATGTATTTGAATATCTATCTATCTATCTATCCTTGTCTCTTCGTTATCTATCTATCTATCTATCTATCCTTGTCTCTTCGATATCTCTCTATCTCTCTATCTATCTATCTATCCTTGTCTCTTCGTTATCTATCTATCTATCTATCTATCTATCTATCTATCTATCTATCTATCCTTGTCTCTTCGTTATCTATCTATCTATCTATCTCTCTATCTATCTATCTCTCTATCTATCCTTGTCTCTTCGTTATCTATCTATCTCTCTATCTATCCTTGTCTCTTCGTTATCTATCTATCTATCTATCTATCTATCTATCTATCTATCCTTGTCTCTTCTTATCTATCTATCTATCTATCTATCTATCTATCTATCTATCTATCTATCCTTGTCTCTTCGTTATCTATCTATCTATCTATCTATCTATCTATCTATCTATCTATCTCTATCTATCCTTGTCTCTTCGTTATCTATCTATCTATCTATCTCTCTATCTATCTATCTCTCTATCTATCCTTGTCTCTTCGTTATCTATCTATCTCTCTATCTATCCTTGTCTCTTCGTTATCTATCTATCTATCTATCTATCTATCTATCCTTGTCTCTTCGTTATCTATCTATCTATCTATCTATCTATCTATCTATCTATCCTTGTCTCTTCGATATCTATCTATCTATCTATCTATCTATCTATCTATCTATCTATCTATCTAATCATTTAACTCCCAGCAAGGCAATAATGCCACAAAGACGCAAGAGATTACTGAGAATGAAAGAAAAAATGAAAAGACTTTAACAGAAAGAACCGGAAACCCAATTTTAAACAGGTAACAAGGAATAAATCTCTACTCCTGTTCAAAAGAAAGGAAAGGGATATGAAGTGGCCGATAGGCAAAACTATCTACTCAGATAGATAGATAGACAGATAGATAGAATTTTCTCTTATTTGGGATTTAATCTTGAGCAAACCCATCACAAATTGAAACAGTGAGTCCGTGTACTTATAAATTCTCGTTATATATATATATTTGTGGTGAGTTTGCTCAAGATTAAATCCCAAATAAGAGAAAATTCTATCTATCTATCTATCTATCTATCTATCTGAGTAGATAGTTTTGCCTAGTTTTTTGAATTTGTAAGTCTGATGAATTGGATCCAATGGAATAAATTATGACTATGGCATATTAGTGTTTAAGCCTTTTTATTATATCCTTACTCTGTCCTGGACATTGAGTTCTACCTGGATTCTATCCTCTTGGAATTTTTTATTCAAAACATTTGCATGTATATATGTATATATATTTTTATATATTTTGCATATGTATGTGTATATTTACCACTAATATTAGCTATATTGGAACCAAATTGAAACCAAATATAGATTCCTATTTGTTTATTTCATGTGTGTGTATGAGTATGTAAAGAACAGCCGAAAATAAATACGTTCTATCTGTTACACAGATAGATAGATAGATAGATAGATAGATAGATAGATAGATTTCAGCAAGCGTGAGGTCGGCATAGGGTTAGGGAGGGGCTTTCAGCACCCCCTTCATCTACTCCCACCTCAGCCGCATGTGTGTAGATGTGTGTATGTGCGTTTACAGGGCAATGTGTAAAGTTGGGTTATTCTTTCTTTTATCCATTTACTATGTTTGTTTATTGCCTTCTTTTTTTTTTCTTTCTCTCTTTCTCTCTATTGCATTTTTTCTTTCTCTGTTAACTCCGCCGACACCACTATGCGCCCCTATTTTCTCCAGCCCCCGCCAATACCACTATCACTGACGCCGCCACCGCCGTCTCTACTACAAAGATCTATTCCAAGTACTACTACTACCAATGCTATTTATTTTTTATTTACTTTTTTTTTTTTTTACTATCGGAACTATTTCTACTACTTTTACTTACTAATATTGCCGTATAAATACTGCTACCACTGCCACTGCTGCTGCTGCTTATATAGTAGTACTATTACTACTACTTCTACTACTACTATAGCGATGATGTCGACGACGACGACGACTACGGCGATGACTACAAGGGTTACGACTTCGTTCATTTAGCCTTCAGTTTTTACTGTTACCCACAAAATACGTCTAATCTGTGCTTACGTCGAAGGCTTCACTTTCCTTCTTTCTTCCTCTCCCTATCTCTCTCTCTCTCTTTATATATATATATATATATTTCTCTCTTTTTCTCTCTCTCTCTCTCTCTAGCTAGCTATCTAAATGAAACTTTGCCCCTTTTTCCCCCTCTACTCCTCTTTTTCTCTTCATTCCTTCTTTTCACACGTGAAGTGGTAGATTTACGAGCGAAAGGTATGTTTTTAACCACACTCAATAAATGCATGCACAAAAAAACATAAGCATATACATTACAAACAGACACACACGCACAGTAACCTCAAGATACACGCGCGTACGCAAGAAAACACTCATATTTAATTTTATACATACTGATGTGTATATATTGAAAATTTGTCAAAGTTACCACTAACTGCTTGATTGTAAGTAAATCTAAAAAAATTATCGTTATATATATTTATATATATATATATATATATATATATATATACACACACAGATATATAACCACTAAAAATTGTAAGTATATACAAACAACATTATATATTCAAGATAGATAGATAGATAGATAGATAGATAGATAGATAGATAGATAATCATCAGATTATTATCAAATGTATTGACGAATCCAATAGTGTACTGTGTACATATACATATATAATTGAATATTGTAATAATGGTACCTACACGCTCTGATATATGCTGTCTTTTCAACGTGCACACTTTCTCTCTGTTGTCTACCTTTCATGCGTAGCATATGAATATGCCTGGAAAATTGTGCGTGTGTAGTACACATAGGAAACGTGTAGATGAGAGCGACGTATACAACATTGGATTTACCAAAAAGAAAAAGAAGCCAAAACATCAAACCCGTATAGAGATTCTCTTCAACAAAGGTATTGTACACACAACATTGCTTACGTACCTTATACAACATTAACAAGCACGGAGTGATACTGAGAAAGTAAACAGTGGATACAAGAAAAACCTAAATCTTTTAAAACTCATACAGGGAAGAAAAAACAGCTAATAACAAAATTATGTCTGCTAGAAAAAGTTTCTTAAAGGATTGGCTATCTGTGGATTTTACATATTATGGACCAGCTCCACGATGATCCGACCCCCGTTCTCAACTATCCTGGATATTAAATATTGCAATTTCCAATACAGTACTACGTTATTCCTCCTCATCTCTCTCCTCCTGCCTGGATTTGTTGTCATGGCCAAAGAAAAGGCGATCCTGGAAATTTTACTTTACCAACCGGCCAAACATATTTCGGGAAAATATAACAAACCTCCGGTCATTTCTCCCCCAGGCCCGGGGCCTGGAGGCAGACCATCGACCATATTGTCTGGCGGTACTGTGTCCATCGGCGATGATCCTAGTGGCCGGGGTGGACGTGGTCGACATGGCGAAAATCGAAGAAATATCGTCGGGGGAGGTGGAGACGGGGAGGACGTGGATACCGTTTTGAATTCGGACCTTCGAGGGATGTCACAGTATGACGAATATAAGTCGTACAAATTGAGTGGCCATTTCTCACCGGCTGGAGCTGCAATGAAAGCCGAGGGCCCAATTATACAGGTAAGTGTATCCGAATATCATTAAATGTGTGTGCGTGCGCGCGATCTTGCGTGTGCTTGAATGTTGAGTGACGTTTTTTTTTTTTTTGTTTTTTTTAAAGTTGAGGTCTTCACCTGTGAGGGAGTCATTTAAATAACCAGCAAATACTCTACCTGAAGGGAATACCTGAACGATATCTTTGTTTTTAGACAGTCTGTGTGTCGTGTGGAAACTATTGTTTCGTCGGCAATCTATCTATCTATCTATCTATCTATCTGTACACATCTATTCTCTCTCTCTCTCTCTCTCTCTCTCTCTCTCTCTCTCTCTCTCTCTCTCTGCTCATCAATCTGTGTCAGTTTATTTATATATATCTCTATTTATCCATCTATCTGTCTATCCATCTCTGTGCCACGATCCCAGCCTGGTCTCTCTCTCTCTCTCTCTCTCTCTCTCTCTCTCTCTCTCTCTCTCTGTGTGTGTGTGTGTGTGTGTGTGTGCGTGTGTGTGCCGGTCTGTTTATGTTTCTACCTCCACCTTTTCTCTCTCTCTCTCTCAATCTATCTATCTATCTATCTATCTATCTATCTATCTATCTATCTATCTATCTCATCTATCTATCTCATTCTGCTCATATCTATCTATCTATCTATCTATCTATCTATCTATCTATCTATCTATCTATCTATCATTCTGCTCATATCTATCTATCTATCTATCTATCTATCTATCTATCTGTACCGGTAATCTGTGTTTCTGTTTCCATCTCTCCTCTTTTTCACTCTACCCCCCCTCTCTCTCTCTCTCTGTGTTTCTCTCTGTCTGTCTGTCTGTCTGTCTGTCTCTCTCTCTCTCTCTCTCTCTATATATATATATATATATATATATACATATATATATATACATACATACATATGTTCATCTCAAATCTGTGCTCGTCTTCTCATTTCCTCCCGCCCCAATCTCTCTGTCTTTATTTATCTCTCTCTCTTTTTCTCTATCTATGCCACTCTTCTACTCATTTCTCTCACTTTTTTACAGTGTGAAACTGTTCACATCTATCTATCTATAATCTCTAGTCTGTTCATGACTCTCGATCTGTGATTGTTCATCTATAATCTGTCTATCTACTATTTTTGTTAATCTCGCCATTCTCTCTCTCACTCATTCTCTCTCTCTTTTTCTCTATCTATCTACCTTACTCAATGTTTCTTTTTCAGTGTAAGCAACAACAACACATATCTGTGTGTGATTATCTTCTAACTTAAGGTGGTCAATAATAGTTCCTTTCCGTAGTGAACACACATGTGATCACACACGTACAACATGTAACTCAACGAGCGTATTTACACTGTGTGCCAACAATAGGGACAATTTTTAGAGAATGATTGATTGACAAATGTGAACAGACAGTTAAAAATATGATGAACTAATTAATAAATAGCAAGAGAGATAAAGTGAACCAGATTGGTAGAGATATCAACACTAACAGTCTTTAATTGTGAGTACTAACAGTGAAAATTAATTTGTGTGTAAAATTAAAAAAATAACTTGTTAGTTAACTAATAACTTAGTAGTAGTTTGGATGCGTAAAGAAGATAAAGTTGTGTACGCGTATCTCAGTGTTTTTTTTAATGCTTTTTTGTTTGATCTCTATTGGTTAAGACTAAGAGATAGATATGAAAAAGAATCTAAAATAGATAGATAGATAGATAGATAGATAGATAGATAGATAACGAAGATACAAGGAGATAGATAACAAAGAGACAATGATAGATAGATAGATAGATAGATAGATAGATAGATAGATAGATAGATAGATAGATAGATAGATAGATAGATAGATAACGAACAGACAAGGATAGATAGATAGATAGATAGATAGATAGATAGATAGATAGATAGATAGATAGATAACTAAGAGACAAGGATAGATAGATAACTAAGAGACAAGGATAGATAGATAGATAGATAGATAGATGAATAGATAGATAGATAGATAGATAGATAGATAACGAAGAGACAATGATAGATAGATAGATAGATAGATAGATAGATAGATAGATAGATAGATAGATAGATAGATAGATAACGAAGAGACAAGGAGATAGATAACGAAGACACAATGATAGATAGATAGATAGATAGATAGATAGATAGATAGATAGATAATCAACAAGAATGAGATAGATAGATAGATAGATAGATAGATAGATAGATAGATAACGAAGAAGACAATGATAGATAGATAGATAGATAGATAGATGATAGATGATAGATAGATAGATAACGAAGAGACAGGATATGAATAACGAAGACACAATGATAGATAGATAGATAGATAGATAGATGAGATAGATAAATAGATAGATAATCAACAAGATGATATAGATAGATAGATAGATAGATAGATAATAATCAACAAGAATGAATAGATAGATAGATAGATAGATAGATAGATAGATAGATAGATAGATAGATAGATAGATAAAGAAGAGACAAGGATAGATAGATAGATACATAACAGCAAGCGATGTTGATATAAGCTATGAATCAGGTGTGTTTATTGACCTGCGCTGTGCGTATCGAGGAGAAAGGTTACGTTTTTGCGTTTCCGAAAATGAATTGTGTGCCCACGAGCACGTCTACTCTCTTACATGCGTGTTTATTTACATCACACTCGTATATTCCGGTACGCACTGTCCTGTCCAAAATATTAGCCCTGCACATGACATGGGGCCCCACGCCACTAACAATAATTTCACAGAATTCATTCTTAAATTTTCGCATAAATCATCTGAATTCTTATTTATTTATGAAGTGCTTTCATTAAGAATTTTTTTTTACAATATTTTAGTTTTTTATATTTTGTCTTTTCATGGTCGATACAGTCTTCGATCGTTAAAGTTGTGGTTGCCTTTGAGGAAACTTGAACCTAGAACCCATTATTACGGAAGCACGCCGCTTCTTTCTTTAGCAGACGTAGAGTGTATCTCTGTAAATCGCTGTGAGAAAAAGAAAATAAAAAAAAAATCAGCCAGAAATTCATGTTTTCTTTCCCTAAGTCAATAGAATGTTTCGACTTCCTCTCACCATTGTACCGATTTTAACTTGAGTGAGTGCTTTTCCTCCATTCACATTGAACAGAGAAAAAAAAAGCTGACTTTTGTTAAAAGAAAGAAGAAAATTGTTTATATACATGAAATAATAATTAAACCTTGTTCATTTAGGCAATATTTGATTAACAAATGACGGTACGATTTTTAAACATGTTCACTTCAAAAATAAAAGACAGGATATAGCATTTACTATTTTTTTTTTTACAACCGGCAGAAACTCTCAATAATAATAATAATAATTATTATTATTATTATTATTATTATTATTATTATTATTCGTGTATTGTAATGTTTCCTGCTTTTTATCCTATAGAGCTGGGCCCAAACTATGGTCCTTAGGCCTTATAGGAGAATTATTCATTATTTAATAATTGATAGCACTTTTCTTAATATATGGGATGTTCCTAGTAGGGCGAATCTTCTGGATAACTTGTATGTTGATGTTACCTGGGACACTGTTTCGTAAAATTGTCCATTCTTTTTCTCACGAGGTCCGATTACTATTGGTACTACAGTCTCAACCTTCATTCCCCACGTCCTGTTAATCTCGATCTCCAGGTCCTTTGTACTTAATTTCTCGATAATTTTCCTGAAGGTGTTTCTCTCAGATGGCTCTGCTATGCCAATAAGCATATACACTTCCTGATTTTTTTTAATGATAATATACTATTATTATTATTAATATTTATTATTATTATTGTCAATTCTTTCGAATTATTCAATTGAGTGATAGCGCGTCTTGTCGTCTGTTAGTTAACTAACACTAAAAAACACTAAAACAGTAATTCGTCCGATGCCGTTGTTAGATACAGCTACACTTTAGTTCGCTGTAGCCATCTGTTCTTGTCAGACTGAATCTGAACGTGTCTCGTACTCTGATAATAATAGGGATGACCGTCATGCTAATACTTTAATTTCTTTGCTTCATTTTTTTAAAAAAAGGAACATAGTACTCTTTGTTCAACAGAGGAGACTGGTTTGCTAAGACTATTGTTGTTATTCATTTTTGATTAGTTTTTCAAACTTTTTTTGATTACATGTTTATACCTCGTGGTAATAGACGCAAATCATCTTTAAATTGCCTGAATTTAAGGGAAGCATTGTAATTGTTATTATTATTGTTAGCAGTAGTAGTAGTAGCAGTAGTAGTAGTAGTAGTAGTAGTAGTAGTGGTGGTATTTTATTTCCTCTCCGATCCTTTGATGTTTCGGTCGGGTGAGCATGCAGCTTTCTTCAGCATATGAGCTATTCCAAGCAGCGCTGCCACCTGCACACTGCCAATGTTTTTACTATTATTATTGTTAATAATAATAATAATTTTTATTAGTTTTTAAATCTTATTTTTGTTCCTTTTTATCCAAGAATAAATCACAAGCGTTCAAATGCCATCGGAAATTATCGGGACATAACAACACTATTTCCTCACTCATCCTGCTTATTTGCAGTTGCAGAATGCAAAAACGACCAGGACTTTGCTGTTTAACGCAACGAAAAAGAAATAACAGTAATAACAACAATAACAATGATAAAAAGCAGTAAAAAATCAATATAATAATCAATGCCATAGCGATAAAAAGTAAGCAAGCGAGTCAGTTACCGTTACGACTTCACTTAAGTCTTTCTCGTTATTCATTCCCCTTGGCTTTTTAATACAGTGAGTAATTTATCAAATCTTTCTCCTGATATTTGAGGGAAAGCAAGATTTTTACAGAGAGTTTTTGATCATATTGGATTGAAACAGTTACTCATTAGTGCAATCTTTTTAGTTGTTATTGTTAATACTAATTCGGCACCTCTTTGCTAACGGCTGGATGACCAAATTTCAAACGTTAAGTTGTTTGTCCATACAAGTGAAAAAAAAAGGATTTCAAAACGGCCACACGTTTCGTCATATATTCTTTTCCTGTTACACATGAAAGGGAAGTTATACCTCATTTCATGTGTGCTTATGCTTTTTTAATTGAATTACACACCGAAAAATGTATATCTATAAAAATTAAAAAAAAAAAACAAATACTTTTAAAATAATTTTATTTATTATTACCGAATAATTTTCGCAAAGTTCAATAACGTCTTATAATTATCTGATATTTACGGTTTAAAAATTTAGCTGTTTTTTTTTTTTTGTTTTTTGTTTTTTTTTCTACAACTTTATTTTTTTCTACGTTTGACTACTACTCTGTTGAGGGAAAGGGTTGCCCACATTGAGTGGGAGGGGAATATATTATTCCAGTGTCTTATTTCAAACTCAATCAAATTGTGCGGCTATACGTGCGTGCATGCATGCGTGTGTGTGTTTACATGTTCATTTAAAAATGACATCCGTACATAAGTCACCCACGCACAACACAGACATACACATATACATTATGGATGCACAGCCCGTCACACACTGACAATCACCGCTTCTTTTATTATTTAGATTATTATTATTATTATTATTATTATTATTATTATTATTATTATTATTATTATTTCCGTAGATTTCTGTTGTATATAAATTCCCTTAAGCAGAGACCTAAGGTCAGAAATGGCTTTATAATATTTTCCACTGTACATTTTTGTGATGAAAAAAAAAGCTATCACACACCTTTTAAGTTTTACATAGATAAAGCTCTTCGTAATGTGTGAGTTGTAGTTATGAGCATAATTTTTTTTGTATTTCTTTAAGGCATGGGGTACCAAAAATCCAATGAGTCCCACTCCACTGAAATCTTTTCCAATCAATCCGAGGGCTCCAACTACACATGAAATAGAAATTGTTAATGTCCACATGTGCCACATTTTTGTGATTTCCATTCCAAAGTCGTTGTATGTTGATATTTTTTTTAATTTTTTTTTTTAAGATCTTCAAAGATACATTGCAATCTGCAGAGACTGCCATGTCAATAAGGAGGCACATTTATCATTGCTGTCTCTAATCACGATATTTGGGCCGATTAGTTTTCATTGTTCTATCCGTGTGTATTGTAAAGTCCCATAAAA